GTGACAGGGCACATAAGGGAATCAAATAAACAACACCGAGCAGTATAAATAAATCCTAAAATTTAAGAGGAGAAGATAATACTACATTTAAGATAAAGTATCAGAGTGTTTTGAGCACTTATCAGTGCCAGAAGAAAGCCCACGTGTAAACACAGGTAATGAATAGCTTATCTGTGGATTTTCATCTCGAGATGCTTATCAACTGAGGAGGACCTCAACCCAAAATTAAAGAAAGCTGGAGGTTCTTTTATAAAGCTGATCTATATAATGCGATTTTTTCTGGTAAACACAATTTAAAAAATCAATCCAAAATTTATTAGCATTTGGAAGGCCTTATAATACGTACTACTCAATTTTGGGCAAACTTTTTCAACTGCATTTCCAAAAAATAAAAAACACCACTATGTAAAATAGCTTTATAAGATAACTTATCATATTCAAATTAATTATTCTCTTTATTTTAATTGTGGGTTTTCTGATGCTACGTTTAAATATATATAGAAGCAAATACCAACACTAATAACAAGAGAACATCGTAAGCATGTAACTGCGAACACCAAAATATAATGTAAAGTGCTACAGAGGCAGAAAGGTTATATTAATTACAGATTCTGATTACAAAGCGGGATTAAGTAGAGATTTTTTTTGCTATACCGTGGCTGGGAAATTCAATTAAAACTAATATAATAAGGCGATTTTAAAACGATGTTTTTCTCCATTCAGGACCATCATCAGCTCATTGATAATGGTCTAGGACGGAAAGAAACGTTTCCTCTCCAAACTGTGGGTTAAGTGTGAGAAAAGCCAGGTATCACAAATGGAAATCAGAAGGTAAATCTGTTAATATCAAAGTTACAAGCAGGTGTATAGGAGAGAGATTAAGCTCCGTGTTCCAGGGATGCACAACTTGTTCTCCCACCAAATATAAGTAAATAGAGTCTGTACAGTGTATTGTTTACAAATTGAAAAAAAAAAAAACACGCGTTGCTGAGAAAAAAAATTTCTTTGGGAGAGCGCATCGCTCTGTGAGAAGTATAAATCAAGTCATGATATAATGAACCTCTACAGAGTGCGAAACGCTGTCCTAGGAAAACATTTTTCGCAGCTTGTGTCTTTTCTTCAGTACTGTCTCCAGTTAGTTATTTACATCAGTGTTAAAAACCGAGTGATGCTCGCAAGAACCCGATATTTTGTTTTATTATATGACACACTGAGAGCCGCAAGCGACCAGCGGGAAGCAGGTTGTGCATCCTTACAGTGTTTAAGACTCCTCCTATATATCATTTAGGCAGAATAATCACACTCAAGCTACTGGTGCAGATGTTTAGATCAGAAAAAGCCTGGATGGTGTGTACTTATGTTTAGACCAGAAAAAGCCTGGATGGTGTGTACTTATGTTTAGACCATAAAAAGGCTGGATGGTGTGTACTTATGTTTAGACCAGAAAAAGCCTGGATGGTGTGTACTTATGTTTAGACCAGAAAAGCCTGGATGGTGTGTACTTATGTTTAGACCATAAAAAGGCTGGATGGTGTGTACTTATGTTTAGACCAGAAAAAGGCTGGATGGTGTGTACTTATGTTTAGACCAGAAAAAGCCTGGATGGTGTGTACTTATGTTTAGACCAGAAAAAGCCTGGATGGTGTGTACTTATGTTTAGACCAGAAAAAGCCTGGATGGTGTGTACTTATGTTTAGACCGAAAAAGCCTGGATGGTGTGTACTTATGTTTAGACCAGAAAAAGCCTGGATGGTGTGTACTTATGTTTAGACCAGAAAAGCCTGGATGGTGTGTACTTATGTTTAGACCAGGAAAAGCCTGGATGGTGTGTACTTATGTTTAGACCAGAAAAAGCCTGGATGGTGTGTACTTCAGCTTCAGATCATAAGCAGTTTAGATTAGTGACGTAATATCATTAGGGAACTCCATGCTCAACAGAAAATTTATTATATAAGGTTTAAAAAAATAAAACCAATAGCGATAAACGTTTTTTCCATACATTTTCATGTGATGTACCTAAACGTTCATACAAGTGAAGAAACATCGCAACGAACTTCGAAATACGTTTCCTACCTGTATAAATGCAAAAGTTTATTTTTTTTAATGAAATGTGAAAGTTTTTCAAAATAGAGAGAAAAAAAAGTGCATTTTACCAAACAATAGATGTTTTTTCCCCCCTTCTGGCGTTTTTCACATCTCAAATAAAACTGCAGAGCTGAAATATACTACAGTGATCAATTTGAAAAATGAGACGAGCTTGTCGGCACAAACTAAGGACAACAGGATCATATAAATCACAAGGTTATGAGATGTATATATCTCAGTGTATATATGATGAGAGTCAACTTTAATCTCTATTTAATGGATTAAAGTTTGCTTGTGTTGTGTGGGTGACACTCAGCCTTAATGACCCTTGAGTGGTGTGGTTTCAAGGGATTAAATTCTATAAACCAATTAATAAATCACATATTTTTACATTAGTGCAGCTCGGTCAGAGATCAGGCCTTATTATTGTCGGCCTGATCGACCAGACTGTTAGTGATGATTGAGACACAGGTGTAACACTGTAAAAGTTGTTAAGTACTGCACGTGTGTCTTGTTCTCCACTAACTACTGTTACGAAAATTGTCTTCTTCCAATGAGAAATATTATGGATATTACATGTATGTAATATGCATAATAGTCTGCACCACAGCCCTGGTCATCAGGAACTAACTTGATTATCTTATTAAATTTACTGTTGAAGACAACCTAGGCGCGAAGGGAGGGTGTTGGAAATTAATTATATGAATTTAGATAGTTTGCATGATTTAAAGTCTATTGATTGCACAAGGGTCATTGACACTGCTGGAGTTTACCGTACACCAACATACAAGAATCACTGAAATCGATAGTAATATATACTCAGTGTATATACTCTGAGGTATATTAACTTCACGGTCTATAAACATTGAGAATGATAAACGCCTCTCGGTGTATATTCACAACATAAATAAATAAATAAAATAAAAATAATATATATATATGTATATATATATATATATATAATATATATATATATATATAATATATAATATATATATATATATATATATATATATATATATAATATATATATATATATTACGTACATACCCGCTGTGTGTGTGTACATATACACGAATCTCTCGGTGTACATGCATTGAGAGAAACATCTTTTGATGAATATACATATTTACACAGTTTACAGTTAAAATCCATTAAAACTCGTCTTTGAATCCACACAAGTGATGCTAGGGAGGTTTGAACCTCTTGTAAGAAGAGTTCAATAGTTTCAGGTTCATCGGATAACATTCCAAGTATTAAATTTTGAATGCCTATTTTTCTCATACATCTTTTTCATTTTTTTTTTTACAATTACATATCTAACATTTTTACATCTTTTCAAGACTATGGATTACATTATTATTTTTCAAAGGAAGCACTAAATCCGTAGGGGCGGCATACACAGGGGAGTGGCAGGCAGTCAGGTCTGATTCAATACATGAGGAGGACAGCTCCAGTTCCTCGGAACACGAGCCAGTCACTGTCGTTAAACATCTCTCCTTGAATAATTTCTTATATATTCTAACATCAAAAGTAACACAAACAATTTTCTTTAATAATACAATTTCAAAACATTTAGAAAGTAGATTAATAGTAGATAATTTTGATTTTTTTTTAAATCTGCTTTTAAATTATGTAAACTACTTTCAGACCATGACAACTGCTTTCAGACCATGACAGCTGCTTTCAGACCATGACAGCTGCTTTCAGACCATGACAGCTGCTTTCAGACCATGACAGCTGCTTTCAGACCATGACAGCTGCTTTCAGACCATGACAGCTGCTTTCAGACCATGACAGCTGCTTTCAAACTATGACAGCTGCTTTCAGACCATGACAGCTGCTTTCAGACCATGACAGCTGCTTTCAGACCATGACAGCTGCTTTCAGACCATGACAGCTGCTTTCAGACCATGACAGCTGCTTTCAGACCATGACAGCTGCTTTCAGACCATGACAGCTGCTTTCAAACTGAGACAGCTGCTTTCAAACTACGAAAGCTGATAGTCGAAAAAAAATGTCGTCTTCATTACAGAATAAAACCAAAAGAAAAATGATTCAATGAGTGACGGACAAGACATAGAAAATAGGCGATAACGAATGATCTGGCAGAGGCAGCAGAGAAAAAAAATCTTATTAGTAGATACGAGAGTAGAAGCAATGGACATAAAAACGAGGAGTAATTTACATATATTACAGCCGGCCCCACGTGTGTAGATGGGTATTATACTCAAAAGTATGCACTAAATCCGTATGGGTCATGCAGCTGGGGAGATTCTGGGAACAGAAAAAATAATTATTAAAAGTATTAAGACAATATATATATATATATATATATATAATATATATTAATATATATATATATATATATATATATATATATATAAATATATATATATATATATATATATATATATTATATATATATATATATATATATATATATTCGTAGTGAAAATTTTACAGTTTATATTCTGTGCGAAATAAACATGTTTTGACGTACATAAACTGAAAGATAAACATCATTCGGAGAATATATGTATACACAGATAAACAGTTTTCAGTGTATGTGCTGTGGCTGTTTAACTCCAATAGCAATGGTCGTTTCATTAGTAAACAGTGGTAAACAAACCCAGAAAAATGTGCATTTGAGATCATTATAATTACATTGAAGTTAAAGTTTATTATAACTGATCTTGGCGTCTCCTTCTCCTTCTAAATATCTATTAAACTGGAGAATTAACAAGAAAGCTACTATTAACTGGAACAGAAAAAACATCCTCGAAACCCATTTTCTGTGATGAGATTGTTGACGAATTCTTGTTTTCTGCTTCTGTGGCGTTTGAGGGAGAACTCACGTGGAAATGAGGTGTTTAAAAGTAAACTGAAGAAGAGGCGTTTGAGGGTAAACTCACTTGGAGAAGAGGCGTAGGACGACGCAAATGATGATAAACATTAGGGCCAGACCTGCTAGCACACCGATCATCGCCGGATCTATCTTGGTAGCCTGAGTCCCTGTCTCTGAAAGCGAGAAAATAAAGTCGTGAGACTATGTATCAAGGGGTGAATAATTTATTTGCTCTAAGTGGCAAAGATACAGTAAGGAATGATTTGGTATCTTACATTGTTTCACATTAAAATACGTAAACATAAGTATCAACTCAAGGAAATGTTCACGCACACACACACACACACACACACACACACACACACACACACACATACACACTGAAGCCTACCTACAAGCATCAGCATACACACTGATATCTAATAGCGACCAACGAAGAGGTGAGGCCTGTAGCTGTGACTCGCCCCCTGCAACCAGAAATAGGTTAGTATAAACTTACACACACACGGAACTCACTGGAGACACAGTTGAAGCCGATGTTAGGATATTCTTCCATACGGTAGCCATCTTGACACACACAGATGAAGGTCGGGCTACATAGGCTGTACTCATCCGCTTCCTCACACTGACTTGTGAACTGGCATGTTGTGTTTAGCTTGGCTTCTGTGGGAACAAGAACATGTGGTTAAAGACAGATCCAAGCACAGTACAGCTGATGATAGAAGACACTTGCTGCAGATCAAGTGTTCACTGAGTTAATGTTTCATTCTGTATACGAGCTTAACAAGTCATGGTTAATTTTATGTTAAGCTTCATCTAGTCTTTTTTCGGTTTATGTAGAAAGAAAAAATCATGTTTTGGCTTGCGTAGAGATTTATCAAGCAATGTTTGCTTTGAGTTTCATCAAATCATGTTTCTCTCTTCGTAGAACTCTAGTTATATTTTACCAAAAGTTACGCCATATTTCATTCTACAGTTATTGTACGGGAGTTATCTGGCTTAATGACAGAGTAAAATTTGACAAATCAAAAGCAGTCGAAAGAACCTTTAGAGAAAGATTCACCAAAAAAATCATTACGCAGTTATCACACACAAGTTCCAGCATTTCTAAGTTTATTAACCATGTAAACAAACAGTCAGGTTTTTGCAACATAAGCCAGAGAAAGTAATTTTTTCTTCTTAAAATCCTTCGCTCATTGAATATTACAGGTGTTCAGTACAGGTAATGCACAGGATATGTCATAATAAAAATGCCATTATGCTTTATAAATAAAACTGATAAATTAGACATATGTACAGCACTTGGGTATCTTTACTGTGGAAACGTATCGCCACACAGTGACTTCATCAGTCCAATACAAAGAAGAATGGTGAAAGTCAGAAGGAGTTTGATGGGACAGTCCCTCAGCCTGCAGTGCATGTAATCTGTCTATCAATCTTGATAAGAATTTATCAACTAATCGGTTCTCTGAACCATTTATCAACATAAATAAAATTGGCAAATTCTCACCTACAACTTCCAATAACAATGACAACTTTCTTCTAAGAAGGATACAACAGTGATGGAAGTTTGAAGCTGATCAGATCCCTTCTGTGACCATCACAGCTGCTACCACCACCACCACCACCACCACCACCACCACAACCACCACCACTGCTACTACTGTTATTACTACTACTACTACTACTACTACTAATACTACTACTACTACTACTACTACTACTACTACTACTATTACTACTACTACTACTACTACTAATAACTCAGCTGCTGCTGCTGCTGCTACTACTACTACTACAAGAACTACTACTAACTACTTACAACGATATATATTATCTCTATGCACTCACTCTATACCTATAAATACAACTCTCACTATGCTCCTGTACTGTATTCTAACGCACTTGAACAAAGCTCCTGAGAGCGAAACGTTGCCCTACACTATAAAACATGTCCTATGTTTAGTTGACACTCCTAATCACTTTTACTATAAATATTGTCCAGTGAATCATATCTCACACTTTCTGAGTGGTAATCACACACCTGAAACCAAAACCGAGCAGTGGGCGCCTGCACACTCCAACAGCTCCATAAACCTTTATGTAGTTACTGTACACCAGCAGTAAAAATTTGAGGTCGATCTGAGGAGGCGTTCTTCAGGTATAAAAGAAAGCAATGGGAGAAAAAGAAAGTCAAGTAACCACTTTTGGGTTTTCTAAAAATTACCACCGACAAAGTTTTCTAGAACTTGATATAATTTTTTCACTAACTTTGTGCTTAATTATCCATCCGGAGGCGAACGTAATGTTGCTCATGTTTCTTTGGCCATCAGGGTTACGATGCGTTGGAATTGGCAGATTAGGGTTCCATTACAGTTAATTGGGTTGGAATTGGAAGATATGACTTCCACTATAGATAATCGGGTCAGAATTAGTAGAAAAGAGTTCCATTAGATAATGAGGGTTTGGAATGAGATCGGAATCTGCGGATTTAGTATCTAGTATTATTATTAAGTTTGAAATTTCATATTTTAATGATTCTTTTGTTGTCTATTGTTGTTGTTTAAGTGTTTCCTTATCTATGAAAATACATTACCTATTAGTTTAAATTATTTTTTCCAGTGTGTGTGTGTGTGTGTGTGTGTGATGTGTGTGTGTGTGTGTGTGTGTGTGTGTGTGTGTGTGTGTGTGTGTGTGTGTGTGTGTGTGTGTGTGTGTGTGTGTGTGTGTGTGTGTGTGTGTGTGTGCATCTTTTCATCTTAGTGTTGAGCCTTTCACGTCTTTTTCACTGCTTTGTAAACTTAGGAAAAAAATATTCTTTGACTTCACGATTCAAAATTCTGAATCTTTTACCAACTCTGTGAGATTCCTTTAATGCTGAAAGAGCTGACATTATGCTGAGCCAGAAAGCTTCTTGATCAACGGCATCAGACAAGACCTTTGTTGTCTCTCTCCCGGTTTGCTTTCATCCTTCTTTGCCTTCGAGCTACGGTGGTAATGGGCGAGGCTAGACCCACGGGGGTAATGGGTAGCCTAGAGACACGGTGGTAATGGGTGAGGCTAGACCCACGGGGGTAATGGGTAGCCTAGAGACACGGTGGTAATGGGTGAGGCTAGACCCACGGGGGTAATGGGTAGCCTAGAGACACGGTGGTAATGGGTGAGGCTAGACCCACGGTAGTAATGGTTCCCACAAAGCCACGTTGGTAGTGGGGTGCCTAGGGTTACTACAGTAATAGAGCAGCTAGAACCACGGTGGGGTAAGACTATTTTGCTTTTGACAAGCTCTGTTGTGCAATGACAAATCCCAGAACTTTAACAGTGAAAGCTTCGACCGTGAGGATTACTACCAACGCGATCTTCTGTGTACTGACGCAAAAGCATACGGTCTTTATAATTAACTGAATACCCGGGACTAACTTGAGTCACCTTGGTAATGAGTCGCCTAAAACTAACGTGGGCGAGATGAATGAAGAACGAGATGAGGTGGTCCACTTGACGCCTCCTAAGCTCAGATACACTGAATGGTGAAGCCAGTGCACTTCATCCTCTCCCCAGAGAAATCTTGTATTTTGTACTCGATTTCAATGGCTCCTGAGCCTTCAGTCTACGGTGGCCCGTGGCATAGTGGCAAAAGTTCTCGCTTCACACGGTGTTGTCCGGGTTCGATTCCCGGCAAGTGTAGAAACATTGGGCGTGTTACCTTACACTGGTTGTCCATGTTCGATCATCAATAATAGTGGGTACCTGGGTGTTAGTTGACTGGTGTGGGTCGCATCCTGGGATAAAATTGACCTAATTTACCTGAAATGCTCAGCATAACATGTGGCTTTCTATATAGTAGTATGTCATTGATGTCAGCTATGGTCTGTTTACTTTGTATTTGTACTTGTAGAACTAGAATTATTATTATTATTATTATTATTATTATATTATTATTATTATTATTATATTATTATTATTATTATTATTATTATTTATTATTTATTATTATTATTATTATTATTATTATTATTATTATTATTTTATTATTATTTATTATTATTATTATTATTATATTATTATTATTATTATTATTATTATTATTATTATTATTATTATTATTATTATTATTATTATTATTATTATTATTTATTATTATTATTATTATTATTATTATTATTATTATTATTATTATTATTATTATTATTATATATTATTATTATTATTATTATTATTATTATTATTATTATATTATTATTATATTATTTATTATTATTTATATTATATATTATTATTATTATTATTATTATTATTACATGCTGGATCACTCTATCTCTCACCTCACTTTCTCCGTTATTGCTGGAACTCTAACTTGGTGTGTCTCTTTCTTTCGCTTTCTCCTAAACCTTTCACCTTCTGAATCTATTTTTCTCGTCTCTCTCATTAAGAAACGTTTTTCTTTTTCCCACTAAACATTTTCCAAGCATTTTTTTACAACATTCACAACCAACAACATTTTTTACAACCATCCACAACCATCAACACCTTTCTACAACCATCCACAAACAACAAAAACCTTTGTACAACCATCCGCAATCATCAACAACCTTTTACAACCATCCACAGTCATCAACAACCTTTTACAACCATCCACAGTCATCAACAACCTGTTTACAACCATCCACAGTCATCAAGAAACTTTTACAACCATCACAGTCATCAACAACATTTTACAACCATCCACAGTCATCAACAACCTTTTACAACCATCCACAGTCATCAACAACCTGTTACAACCATCCACAGTCATCAAGAAACTTTTACAACCATTCACAGTCATCAACAACATTTTACAACCATCCACAGTCATCAACAACATTTTACAACCATCCACAGTCATCAACAACCTTTTACAACCATCCACAGTCATCAACAACATTTTACAACCATCCACAGTCATCAACAACCTTTTACAACCATCCACAGTCATCAACAACCTTTTACAACCATCTACAACCAACAACACTTCCTACAATCACCTCCCACATGTCAACACGCCCAACCTTCACCCTGGAACACCACCCACATCTCCATTACGACCAACAGAACACGGTACAAACAAACAAAATTCTCAAACCCTTGAATCTGCACATAGGTTCCAAACAAGACATGAGGATCCCCACGAACCAGTGACTCGAAAACTTTTTCGGATACTAGGCGGACCATCCCCAGGTACATGACACGAGCGATCAGTCCAGACCAATACACACACATACACGACACGCTCACTGTTATTGGAACGCTACCAATATATCGAAGTGCACGACAGGTACGGTATCTCTCGGTCTCTCATATCGAAGCTATTTAAAGCGGGTATTGTACGCGGGATTAGCTGTGAGACGTCTTTGTTTTAACATGTTTTTATTACGTTTAAAGCTTATTTAGTGTTGAAGATGGGATTGTAGGTTTTTCACTCCAAAACAAAAGCACGTCAATGTTGCTTTCTGAGATCACACAGAAGTCTGCGTGAATCTTGGAAGAAATATACACAAGGTGCCATGGCAAATGTAGTCGCATGGTACCTGGTAAAAGTGTGTCGCATGGTACCTGGTAAAAGTGGTCGCATGGTACCTGGTAAAAGTGGTCGCATGGTACCTGGTAAAAGTGGTCGCATGGTACCT